CCAAAAAAAAAAAAAAAAAAAAAAAAGGCCGGGTTCAGTGACCCAGACTGTCATGCCAGCACTTTGGGAGGCCAAGGAGAGTGGTTTGCCTGAGCCCGCGGGTTCGAGACCAGCCCGGACAACTTGGTGAGACCTGTCTCGACAATAAAATAAAAAATTAGCTGGACATAGTGCACACCTGTAGTTCCGGCTACTTGAAAGGCTGAGGTGGATGGATCACAGGAGCCCAGCAGGTCGAGGCTACGGTGGCCGGGAACATGCCACTGCACTCTAGCCTGGGCGACGGAGTAAGACTCCAACTCAAAAAAAAAGTAAACAAAGCAATTTTAAGCGAATGTACACATCTGCTCTTAGAAATTAAATGCCATTAATTTTTGTAATCTTATACTCCTTCTAAAGAAGTTTCACCCAGGCTTGGCACAGAGTATGCCACCAGTAAACCCTGTGCCGGTCAGGACCACTGCAGTGGACTCGTGACCCTTGTCATCGGTCCCTCTTCTCAGCCAGAGCTGACCAGATCATTCACCTGCTTCAATACCCTTTCATGGCCTCCCTTGCCCACAGAGGAAAGTCCAACATCTCAACCTGGCAACTTCAGGATCCTACCCTGCTGACCTCTCCAGCCTCCTAAGCTACTACTCTTGTCCCCAGGGACCTGAGGCCTTAGCAGCTCTGAGCTCCTGGGTGTTCCCCCAGTGTCTTTTTTTTTTTTTTTTTTTTGAGTTGGAGTCTCACTCTGTTTCCCAGGCTGGAGTGCAGTGGCATACTCATGGCCACCACAGCCTCAACCTGCTGGGCTCAGGTGATCCTTCAGCTTCAGCCTTTCAAGCAGCTGGAACTACAGGTGTGTGCCACCACGCCTAATTTTTTTGATTTATTGTAGAGGCGAGGTCTCACCATGTTACCCAGGCTGAGTTTTGAACTCCTGAGCTCAGGCAATCCTCTCATCTCTGCCTCTCAAAATGCTGCGATTACAGGTGTGAGCCCCTGCACCCGCCCCAGTGTCCTTCCTATATCCCTGTTCACACGGCTGCCTCTGCCTGCCCTGACCTCTTCTCTGGCCTCCCATAAAAATTCCTCTTGTTCCCTAACTGACACTTCTTCCTCCTTCTCCCACTCGGAAGGAGCTTCCTGCGGTCTGTGATCTAATTATCCCCACCCTTCAGTCAAGGCCTTTCTCTGTCTCCCTCACAGACCTGTGACAGTTCTCAGTTGCCTCACTGGGCTGTGATCTTCCCAAGGACAGGGCCAGCCAAGGGTTGGACACGTGGGGTGGGAGGAAGGAAGGGGAGATAAATCCTGACCGGGCTTTCGGCACATACTTTGGAAACTGTAATGTAAACACACATCACATGGGAATTTCCAAGCTAAAAAGCAGATTCCGATTCAGGAGGGTTGGGGTGAGGGCTGAGAGGCTGCATTGCTAACAAGTTCCAGGTGTTGCCGGTGCTGCTGGACCAGGGACCACTCTATGCAGCAAGCGGGGAAGGGAGGCAGGTGGGAACCCAGGTGGGAGCAACCTTCGTCCCAGGGATATAAGTTGGCTGGGTGGCGGCCCCCTCCCACTGCTCTGCGGACACCATGGAGCTGAGCTACAGGCTCTTTTTCTGCTTCTTGCTCTGGGGTGGCATGGAGCTGTGCTGTCCTCAGCCCCTGTGGCCCCTGCAGGGTGGAGCCAACCGCCCCGCGTCATCTGTGCCGCCCGTGCTGGTCGAGTGTCTGGAGGCCTCGCTGGTGGTCACTGTCCGCAAAGACCTTTTTGGCACCGGGAAACTCGTCAGGCCTGCAGACCTCACCCTGGGCCCTGAAGGCTGTGAGCCTCTGGTCTCCACGGACACGAATGATGTGGTCAGGTTTGAGGTCGGGCTGCATGAGTGTGGCAACAGCGTGCAGGTGAGGTGTAGGGGCCCTGGCTTAGGTGGGAGGACGTGAGAGGTGGCTGGTGACAGGGACTGCAGCTGCAGAGCTGGTGGGAGGTAGGGTCGGGCAGACTCACTCGGGGGTAGGGAGATGGCACAGCGGGGGGTTAGCGACATAGGGCTAACCATCTCCTGCCTCTGATGGCTGAAATCAGGTAGGTAGGGTGGAGTCAGGGACAGTGGGGTGCTTTGGACCAAATTGGGCAACCCCAGTCTGAATCCTGCAGGTTTATGACAAACACGTGTGAGTAATAGGACAGTCCTGTGAGTAGCACCAGTATTTGCTTGGAGTGTTAGAAACTTGTCCCAGAGAGATGATTTGAAATCTCAGCTCAGAAGTACTCACTGCAGAAAAAACTGGGCTGGGCACAGTGGCTTGTGCCTGTCATGCCAGCACTTTGGGAGGCCAAGGTAGGAGAATTGCTTGAGATCAGCCTGAGAAACGTAGCAAGACCTTGTCTCTACTTTAAAAAATAATAAAAACTAGTGGTTTGGTGATGTGCACCTGTAGTTCCAGCTAACTGGAAGGCTGAGCTGGCCAGGCCATTTGAGGTTGGGCTGGATGAGTGTGGCAACAGTGTGCAGGTGAGGTTTCGAGACCAGCCTCAGCAACATTGCGAGATTCTGTCTTTAATAGGACTTTAAAAATTAGACAGGTTTGGTGGTGTGCACCTGTAGTCCCAGCTACTCAGGAGGCTGAGGTGGGAGGGTAACTCGAGGTAAGTACTTTGAGGCTGCAGTGAGCCATGATTGTGCCACTGCACTTCAGCCTGGGCAACAGAGTAAGACCCTGTCTCTTATAAAAATATTTTAAAATTAAAATGGTATGAGAAGGGGGTATCGTGGTAACCTTGGTGTTGAAGGCCTTAAAGACTTCAATTGGGTCCCTGGGGGCACTTCCAAGTGACAGAGGTTTAATGTACAGGAGGCAGGTACAGGAAGAAACCTCAGGTAATCCAGTCCAGATCCCTCCTTTCCCAAACTAGTGGGAAAGCAGATGCTCAGGCTACAAGGAGGGGTCTTACAGCAGGGTGCGGCACACAGCTCCCTAGCTGGTCCTTGACCCCCTGGACCGAGTGCTTGTTGCCCTTGGAGGCCTGACCCTGGACCTAGTAGCTTGGCTGGGGTTGGGACAAGTCCAGCCCCTGGAGCCCTTCAGCTGGAGTTCTAGCCTAGCCCCAGGTCTTGTCTTGAGAACTTGGAGCCCTTCTTTCCCTGGGAAGAGGGGCCAGAGAGCTCTGGGTGTTTTTTTAAGCAGTATTCTAGCTTAGTAACTCACAAAGTTTGTGTTGGAATTGTTATACGCGAATCGCTAGAAATCAGATAACCAGCTCAATCAAAGGTCAAATTAATAAGTCCTTTATTAAAGCCGGCGGTCGAGAGGGGGCTTGTCTCCCAAACTCTCGACAATGAATGAAATTTGTGGGGAGTTTTTTTGTTTGTTTGTTTTTGTTTTTTTTGAGTCGGAGTCTCACTCTGTCGCCCAGACTGGAGTGCAGTGGCCGCTCCCGGCCACCGCAGCCTCGACCTGCTGGGCTCCGGGCGATCCTTCCGCCTCAGCCTTCCGAGTAGCCGGAATTACAGGCATGCGCTACCACGCCCGGTTGATTTTTTGATTTATTGTAGAGATGAGGTCTCGCTGCCCAGGCTGGTCTCGAACCTGCGGGCTCAGGCGATCCACTCACCTCAGCCACCCAAAGGCGTGGGATTACAGGCTGAGCCACCGAGCCCGGCTTGTGGAGAGTTTTTATAGGCAAAAGCAGTTGGGAAACTGAGTTATTACAGAGATAAACATATGAAATACATGTTCTGGGGTTTGACACGTAGTACACTTGGATAAGGGGGCACATGTTTAGATAAGGGGGAAACTGTTACAGCACTGGGTGGGGTGCAGGACTGTGAGGGTTGTTTTATAAGTAAAATTTTAAAATTCTTGCATCGGCCATACAGAAGTTTAATAACAAGTTAATAACATGGAGGCAAGCCACAAAATGGAGTTTTATATTTTAAATACAAACTTAGGTTCTATTCAATACACTGCAAACACTTCAAACATTTTACAGAATATAGCAAAAACACTTTAAATACTTTAGAATCACCTGGGGAACTTCTAAAAAGCCTGACATCCAGGCTGCACTCCGTACTCGGGACAAGCTTGGGAGCCACCTGTGGGTATCGGAGGGTCCCAGGTGACGCCAATGAAGGGTAAAGCCTGGTGTTTCCTCCTCTGGGGTGGTGTCTCCCAATCTTCCCTGATAGTAATCACCTGGGGCAGGCTGGGTGTTGGTTCACGCTTGTAACCCCAGTGTTTTGGAAGGCAGAAGCCCGGGGAGGGATCCCTTGAGTCCAGGAGTTTGAGAGTGGTCTGGGCAACCTTGACTCTAGAAAATATGATCGCCTGGGGCTGGGGACAATTTTCTAGGTGAATAGCCTGTGTAGTCCTGTAGGGCCTTAGGTTTTGCTCTACTGCCCTGAGATTTGTAATAACTTCTGAACCAGAGACTTTACAATGCCACTGCTGGTCCTGCCTGGGGCACTTGCTAATAAGATCTGGAACAGTGCCCTAAAGATTGAGTCTGTGGCCGGGTGCTATGGCTCAGCCTGTAATCCCAGCGTGTTGGGAGGCCAAGGAGAGAAGATTGCCTGAGCCCGGGGGTTCGAGACCAGCCTGGGCAATTTGACGATACCTCGTCTCTACAATAAATCAAAAAATTAGCCCGGTGTGGTGGTATGCCCTTGTAGTTCCAGCTACTTGGAAGGCTGAGGTGGAAGGATCGCCGGAGCCCAGCAGGTTGAGGCTGCAGTGGCCATGAGCATGCCACTGCACACCACCAGCCTGGGTGACAGAGTGAAACTCCGACTCAAAACAAACAAAAAAATTGAGTCTGTTAGGGTGGGACTAGGCAGCCACCTAGGCTCCAGGTGCTCTCCTAGACAACCACCCCTACCCTCTGCAGACAGCCACCCCTACTGGAAGGCACAAATTGTCCCAGGAGCACCTGTCTGCTTTTCTGCCCCAGGCAGCCACTGAACCAGTTTCCCCACAAGTGGGCTTGAGAATAGGCCAGGAAGGTGATAAGTGTTAATTGCTGTGCAGTAAAGTTAAAGTTTCCGGCACCTTCTGGCTCTCTTGGCCCCAGACTCCTTCTGAAAAAGGAAGGTGTGGGCTGGGTGCCATGGCTTGCGCGTCTGTAATACCAGTACTTTTGGGAAGTCAAGGCAGCAGGATCATTTGAGGCCAGGAATTCGAGACCAGCCTGGGCAACATATTGAGACGCCATCTCTACAAAAAATAAAAAAGCTAGGCGTGGTGGCGTGTGCCTGTAGTCCCAGATACTCAGGAGGATCACCCGAGCCCAGGAGGTCAAGGTTGTGGTGAGCCATGATTGTGCCACTGTACTGCAACCTGGGTGAAAGGTGAGACCCTGACTCAAAAGTGTATATTAGGAGGTAGGGTGGCAGCACCAGGAGAAGAGAGGTATGTATCCTGATGCCTCTGTTTGTTGGTGTCTGACCTGTTGATCCAGACCCCTGTGGTAGTGTCAGCATTTCAGAGGTGAAGATAGTACTAATGTGGCCTCTCCTTACTGGTCAGCAGCAGAGCCCATGTCTTTACTGCTCTCCCTGCACCTCCACGTGGACCAGTTGCATCTTGGGTAGGTGAAGTTGGCTGGCTTGACCCCTCACCTTTCTTTCAGGTGACTGATGACTCCTTGGTATATAGCACCTTCCTGCTCCATGTCCCCCGCCCCATGGGAAACTTGTCCATCGTGAGGACTAACCGTGCTGAGGTCACCATCCAGTGCCGTTACCCCAGGTCAGTGTGGTTGGGCTGTCACGGGCCCTGGTGCAAAAGTCCCTGGGAAATGTCTGTGGGCGGGTGGATCAGTTGAGGAAGACAGTCTGCTGCATGGCTGTGAGGAGGCGGAAATGCTCGTGGTTACTCTCCTCAACCCTGTGTGGGACTGGGGAGCCCACCGAGTCTAGTTGGCTCCACAGAGAAGCATCAGGGCCCTGACTGCCTCTTTGTGGAGGCTGCGGAGTTGCCCAGCCCTGGGGGATGGTCCTTTGCCAGCCCAGGCCCTCCTCAGAGTTCAGAAACAGGCTTCTGCCGGGCTCGGTGGCTCAGCCTGTAATCCCGTGCCTTTGGGAGGCTGAGGTGAGT